AATGGAAACTAGGAAAAATAATTGTCAAATAACTAAAATTTCTTACAGTTCAAACTAATTAGAAAAACAAAAATCTAATAGTCCAAACTAGGTAGATAAAAAAATCTAATAGGTCAAACTAATTATAAAAAAAATAGAGAGTATAAACCGTAGAAACTAAAAAGTGGAGAAAAAATAAAAAAAAAATAATTATGATAAAGCAAAAGATAATATATAAATTGAAAAATATAAAATTAGAAACGATATGAAAATCTCAATTTAAAAATTTAAGATATGCACAACCATCATACCAAAAAAAACAAAAAAATCTATAACCATATTTATTTTTTCAACACAGATATTGAATATCCAAAACAAAAAAAAAATCTATAACCAATCAGGGAATTGTTATTTTTCAATGTAAAAAAAATTATATCAAATAAAAATTATGCATGTTAAAAACAAGAATAATATATTTGTTTTGAAAATCCAAAAGTGTTTAATGTTTGACGAATATAGATACGGTATACATTTATCAATTATGGAGTTATATATGACTTGATAAAACTATTTATAAAATATTATATAGGTTTTTATGAGATTATTCACATGAATTTTTTTGTTTGATTTAACTCTATAGTATTTAAATTGTTTTTATGATTTTATCAGATAATTAATATATATTCATTATGGGTAATAATATTTGTTCATTTATTTATATATGAGTCTGTATGATATGAATTATGATATTCGAATTAAAATATAAATTGATCTCTAATGATTTAAAACTCATGTTTAAATAATATTTCAAAATATGTTTGTAATTCACCGGGTTACCAACTAAAATATATATATCTATATCAATAATTTTTAATGTGTTTACCTGCATATCAATGCAGGTTCTAATCTAGTTGTATATAAAAAAAAAAGTATATCAAAATTCTCTACTTGTATATATATATATAATTGATTTATATTATTTTGTTGATACATATGTCATAATTTAAATTAATAATGACATATATTAATTAATTTTGTAAATTTTTGTCAACTTTTTCTTTCCTTCTTTTGTTAAATTTCCATTATTATTTTTTTTTTTCCTTGAGCATATCCAAATTATGTAAACTTTCTTTAGATTCCGGATATCATTCGACTAAACTAAGGAATTAATCGATCACTACAAAAAACTCATCAATTCCTTCACAAG